GCCGTGGACGGGACAGCCGGTGGTGATGCCTCTGGGGAGACGGTGGCCGTGGACCCCAGGGGCAGGCCCAGGGGCGGCGAGCAGCCGGCCGCCCCTCACCACCTGGAGCTGGACCTGGAGGCCCGGCCCGGCCCGGCCCGTCTCCGGCCCAGCTGCACCCAGGCACCTAAGCGAGCCGCGTTCCTCTCTGAGCCTCAGGTCCCTGGACCCGGCGGCAGAGAACTGGGCCCAGTCCCGTGGAAAGGGGGCTGGGGCTGTCTGTCTCCGAGTCCCCAGAGGGCAGGGCCCACACTCCCCACTTCCCTGAGGCCCCCCGCGCCCCCTTGAGCCCCTGGCTGAGGTTTCTTGGACAGACAGAGGGGTTTCTGAGACGCGCACAGCAGAGGCCTCCTGGACAAACACCGGCCGGAAGAAACACCCACTTTTGCTCACTGTCGGCTCCCGGGGGCCGGTCCCGTCGTGCGTGTCTGTTTCTGCCACAGAACGTCACTTATCAAAACCTGCTGCAGCTCGGGGGGCAGGGGAGGGCGGCAAGGAAGGTCCACGGGCCCTGCAGAATCCTGGCAGTCCGCCCCGGTGGGGGCGGGGGGAGCGTGTGCGTGTCTCCTCCGGCCCCTCGGAGACGCCCCCGCCCAGCCCTCCTATTCCCACTGTGGCCGAGGGGACGGCCGAGGGCTCCTGCTGCCTGGGCTGGGGGGCTGGCGGGGCGCAGAGCAGCCCCCTGCGGGCACCGTGGTGCGGGGAGCTGAGGGGCGTGGGGGCTGAGGAACAGGCCTGAGACTCTGCCACGCGGCCCGGCAGCCCGACGGAGGGAGACGCAGCGATGCCCTCTGTGCCCCCTCTCTCCTCTGATCACTTCTCCTTCCCAGAGCTCCCTCTCCCAAGCCAGGGAGCACACGCCGTGGCGGCGGAGGACAGGGAGCAGGGCTGGGGTCCTCTGGTGCCCGGCCCACGGCCGCTGAGCCACCTGCGACGGCTCCTCAGATGTCGTTTCCTGGCTAAGACGTTTGGAAAACCTTCTGCTTCTGAATCCCGCGCAAACACCGTAATTCAGCAAACTTCTTCTCTGAGTTGTTCAAGGAGCTTCACTGCGCTCAGAAGGGGAAGGTTGGGCGCATGGAATCGATGAATTCTCTGAGCGCTCTTTTCCTCCTCGTTCCGTTTCATTTGTCAAGTGGAGCTGGGGGGCGTTCCTCTGAGCCCCCGGGGGGCAGCTCCCGGGGGAAGTCTGGACACGGGCGATTTGGGGGTGCTGGATGACACTTGGTTTCTCTTATCATCTTCCTTCTGTTCCCATAATAGACCCCAGTGGCGTCCAGGAAAAGGCCGGCCACCACGGTGTCTTCTCTTGACCCCGACAGTGGCCAGAGGAGAGGGCGTTCCGGCTGAGGGCCGGCCGGTGGGGTCCTACCTGGCCCTGTCAGTGTCTTCGGGCAGCGGGCGTGCTTGTCGTGGGGCGGTGTCACCTGCCGTGCATGCTCCAGGATGCCTTCTTTTTGCCCCCTGCCCTCTGCCCTCTGCCCTCTGCCCTGTGCCCTCTGCAGCTCTGAGCTCCAGCTCAGTCACTGCAAACCCGCTGTTGCCACGGCCCTTCTGCAGGGGACAGAAGGACTGTCCTTCATCACAGACAGCCACTTTCAATTCCTGGCTGCAGCTCAGGGCTGCTGGGGTTGGGGGGTGGGGGGGGGGTGACGGGGGAGTTGGTCACCTGTGTCCTGGCGGGAGAGCAGAGCTGGAGTAACTCCGGCCACTCAGGGCACACGGTTCACCTGTGTCCCGGGAAAGAGCCACCACCGTCGGTCAGAGAAGGCACCGTGTACTCACCACTGTGTTGGCTTTACCGGCTTGGCCGTCCGAGGAGGGACACGGCCACCTCCACCAGAAGGACAGAGGGACACAGACAGGGTGGACACCTCTCAGGCCTGTGCGTGGCCCCCACAGCGGCAGGTCCCAGACTCAGCCTGGGCAAGCACCGCCCGAGGGGCCGCCGATCCACGCAAACAGGGGGCCTCTCTTCGCCCTTTTGTCAACTGCCCCATTAACAGGAAAACCTTTCAGGTGCTCGTGGGGAAACCTGGCCTCCTGCTCCCTGAGCAAACGGGGGTGGCCGAGAGGAACACACTCCAGGGTGGGGCGGCCACGGAGCCCCTGCTCGCTCAGCAGAGAATGAGCCCAGGAAGACCTAACGCCCCTCCCTGCCCGCCGGGTCCCGTGGTCCTGCCACCGCTTCCCCTGGGAGCCCAGCGGTTCCCCACGTGCCTGCCTCTGGGAACGGTCTGCACTTTCAGCTGAGACCACCACCTCTTCTTCGGGGGGCTGGAAAGGCCCTGGGCCCCAGCCCGGCCCTCCACGAGGACAGGCTTGTGATGCACGCATCACTGCCTCGCAGGGACACCTGCCGAGCCGTGCTCGGCCGCTCGCACCCGCCAGGTGTGTGGGTGTCCCCTCGGCAAACACTTGCTGAGGCCCTGTCCCCAGCCTGCCCGCTGGGGCCCCCGGAGGTGAGGGAGCGGCAGTTCCCGGGCTGGGGGCGGTGAGGCAGGCCTAGAGGCAGTTAGCAAACACGCAGAAGTGAGGTGCTGGGGCTGAGGGAAGGGGGTGCCCGTGACCCAGGGGCTCCGAGGAAGGTCATGGGGAAGGTGACGGAGCCCCAGGAGGGCAGACAACTGGGGGGACTGCCCTGGAGCTCTGTGGGAGTCCGATGAGAGGTGGCGGGGGGAAGTCAGGGAGGGCAGGACGGGGAGCGGAGGGAAGGGTGGGGGGGGACTTCTTTTTCGTGAAAAGTACTGCTAGGCACCTGAGAATTCCTTCGTCTCGAGTCTACACTCTTCCCCACTGGGGGTGGCGGGGTCTGAACCAGAGGCAGCGGCGAGGCCCCGTCTGCGAGGCCTGCAGGCCCGCCGGTTTGCGTAGAGAGAAACTCCAAACCTGGGAAGTGTCAGCAGGGTCCTGACCCTGCACCGCAGCTGTGGGGTCGGGCCGGTTGTTACCGGCTGGCAGCCTTGCCCACATTGGCTTGCCTCTCCGCGCCCCCCCACCCCCCTCTGCACCACACGGCTACTGGCTAGTGTGTTGCCTAAAAGTTGGCGACGAAGTTGCAGCTCTGGTGGCTCCACCTCGAATGCGTCACAGTTACCTCCCGAAAACGAAAACGAGGATTTCTGTTTGCACAAGCCGGGCCGCTCACGTGCAGGAACTCTGATGTGGATACAACGTTATTACGCAACCCGAGGTGTATCCAGACGCCCGTCGCTGCCCTAGCCGTGCCCTTCACGGCAGCTTCTCCCCGGCCCAGGACCTGACACAGCGTGCTACCAGCGGCGCTCTTCCGGGCAGGGGCGGGCCGCAGCCGCCTGGCGTGGGCCCCGGGGGACAGAGTCCTTTTCCCTTTCGGTGCCCGGCCGGGCTCCTCCACGCCCCGGATGAACGCCTTGCGGGGCGGGCAGAGGCTGTTTCTTCCCAAAAGCACATCGTCAGTAACTTTCCTGCCCGTGCCCCTGACCTCACTCCCGAGCCTCCCCAGGCACACAGGAAGGGCACAGGGTTTAGGAGCCGAGGGTCAGGACGGCGCTCGGCAGGCAGGACAGACCCCTCAGCTGATGTCACCGGTCTGGGCAGAGGCAGGGAGGGCAGGGACCGGCAGCGACTCGGAGTCCAGTTCAGTCCTGTTCTGGACCCACGTCCTGGGGGATTGTGTCTTCCCAAACCAGTCACCTCCTCGGAGAGGTCCGTGACCTCAGGGGCCGCCCCACCCGTCTCCTCCATCCCGGGACCCCCAGCTCCCAACGGGGACGCCCGGCGTAGGGCGGGTCCCCGTGGTGGCTGTTCGGTGAGGGGGGCCGCCCTGGGGTGCCGGGCGGATGCTGGAGAGAGGCCTCGGGGGGCAGGTGCCGGCTGAGGACGCCCCCCCCCCGCCCGCATGCTGGGGGCTTCGGGACGGAGCGGTGGCCCCACCTCCGGAGCTCGGGGCTGCCGGGCGGGGCTGGCTGTGGGGAGCGGTGGTGGGGCCCCGGCCTGGGTTTGCAGATGGTTTGCTGGGGGGAGCCCAGGGACGCAAGCCGAGGACCCGGCCAAGTGGGTTGGCACTTCTGTGTCCCCCCTCATCCCCCCCGTGCGGAGCCCTCGGGCTGGGCCTTAGTGAGATGGGGTTGCGAGTCCCTGTGACCCCCAGAGAACCCACGGCCTGCTCAAGGAACCCGATGGTGAGCCCTAAGTCCCCGGACAGGGAACAAGAGTGAAGGGGACGACAGGGCGCAGGGCCAGGGAGGGCGCTGAAGGGACAGGCGGGCCCGGGCCTGGGCAGAAGGCTACGCAGGACGGGGCAGAGCAGGGTGCAGAGAGCGAGGAGCGAACAGGGCAGGTGTCGGCACGGGCCAGGGACCTGTGGTCCGGGTGGACGCGCCCTCCTGTCCCCTCACGGCCGGGCAGGCCCTCTGACGTCACCCCGTGCCACCGGTGGCTTTGGGACCACTCCTTCCGAAGCGTGTCGGAAGACCGTGGGGGCCATGGGGGGCTCTTAGGCGAGGGGGCGGGGCAGACGCCCTGCTGGCCGTGTAGCCGTGGTGAAGTCACCTCGTGCTCCGGGGCATCACGTGTGGTCTCATCTGTCAGGTTTCGACAGACGGGTTTCTAATAATGCAGGTGGTGTGGATGGGGGCTCTCGGGAGGCGGCTCCGGTCACCCCAGGGGGCTGGGAGCCTCGGCTCGGCTGTCACACCGACCAGTGCCCAGAGTCCCTCAGGCAGGCCCCCACCTTGGGCCGGACCTCCAGCCACAGAGCGCAAAGGCAGCCTTTGGCCGTGAACTCTAGGAAATGACCAGGCAATCTTGTGTGTCGGGAGAGAGAAAAACCACCCCCTTCCCTAGGATGACAGCAGGGAGCACAGCAGGGTGGGGGCTGGGCCTCTGCGCTGGCCACGCCCTTGGGTCCCCCCGGCCGAGTGGCTGGGTCAGCTGGCCCCGCCGCCGCTTGGACCAGAGTCGTGCTGGGCTCACGCGGCGAGGGAGGCTGTCCCAGAGTCTGTGGGTTCCGCGAAGATCTTGCGCTCGGGCACAAGCAAGGATGCGAGAAATCGTGCACATCCAGATCGGCCAGTGTGGCAACCAGATCGGAGCCAAGGTAAGGAGACTCCCGCTCCCGGTGTGAGCTCCACCGTGGCCCCCGCTGTGCCGCCGACCAAGACACGGCCTCGGTGAGCCGGGCCGACTTCATGTGCTCGCTGGGTATTTGATTATTAATGCCTTTAATGAAAAAGGCACAGGAAACAGCAAAGGCTTACGGGGTTAGTTTGATTCATGGAGTCCCAGGTGTGCGATACACACGTCGACCGTTTTTGCTTCGTCACCTGCAGCCACGAACGTTTCGTGTCTCCAAACAGTAACTGTCTCCGGCTTCCCAAAGTTGGCTGGTGACTTTGGATACCACGCCAGTAAGCTATCTCTCCCTTTTCTCCCCAATTTATGTTACAAAGCTAGAAAAGATCAAGTACTTGCTATTCCATTTAATGTGCAACAGGAAAGCAAAGAGGCAAACCGGAAAGTTTCGTGCACAGTAGCAGAAAGAATTAAAATACTCCCTCTGGAATATAAGTAAGTTTTTCTCCTTCCCCCTTAACACTTTGCCGTGAAGGACCTGGTCAGGTTGGCCAACACTAAAAAAACCCACTGACAGAACTCAACACCTCCAATCCTAATTTTTAAAAGCTTTTATTTATTGATTTTGGAGAGAGAGAGAGGAAGAGGGAGGGCGAGAGAAAGAGAGAAAGAGCAGAGGAGAGAAACATCGATTTGTTCTTCCACTTACCTGTGCATTCATTGTTATGTGCCCTGACCGGGGATCGAACCCACGGCTCAGCCGCACTGGGATGACTAACCTACTGAGCCACCCGGCCAGGGCTCCAGCCCTCATTTTAAGATGACCAGTGCTACAGTATCTGACTGTTCTCATTGCTATTTTAGAATGAATGTTACAGGTATGAACTGTATTAAAACTGTCTTTTAATTTAAAAAGTTGTGGTAAAACACAGCATGAAATTTACCATCTTAACCATGGCAAAGTTTATCACTCAGGGCACTTGGCAAAACTGAAACTGCCCCCTTGACCCTGCTCTCCCCATTCTTCCTCCCTGGGCCCCGGCACCCCCTTCCGACTCCGTCTCTACCCACCTGGCCCCTCCGGGCCCCTCACGTGAGTGGCACCTACGGAATTTGTCCTCTTGTGCCTGGCTCACGCCCCTGAGCGTGATGTCCCCTAGGCGGTCCGCGCTGCAGCCGGTGTCGGAGCTGCCTTCCTGACTTAGGGCTGGGTGACAGCACCCCCCTGGACAGACGGGCCAGTGCTCCGTGCACCCGCGCCTCCACCCACGGGCGCTGGGGTCGCTGCCCACTCCCGGCTGTCCTCCTGATGGAGGCACCTGGGCGAAACCAGCCTCTCAACGCAGGGCTGAGCCCCTGGGGCAGAGGACACCGTCCCTCGGAGGGGGAGGCCGCCCCCCTCCACGCCGGCGATAAGGCGCACAGGGAGGTGGGAGGCCCGAGCCCCCCCGCCCCCCACCCCCCCGGCCCTGAAGTTGGCAGATAACGCGGGCAGAGGACAGCGGGGAGGGGCGTGGCTCCAGACTGATGGGCCTTAGCTCGCTCCAGAGCGGTGTGGCCTGATGGTCAGAGCCCTGGCAACTACTTCCTGCCCTGGTCCCCAAGACCTTGAACTGGTTACATTTAATTCGTGGTGTCGCAGAACTTACATTTATGTATTCTCTCACACCCCCGACGGTGCTGACAACGTACTGTACATAAGACCGTGGCCGGAGCAGAACCGGCATTTGTGAGATGTGTTGCAGGAGAAAGCCCCGGGGGACTGGAGCACAGGCGAACACATTTTCACTGCACTGCACTGCGGGCTTCCAGGCAGTGGAAGGCAGCTGGGGGACTGCTCCTGGGACACGAGCTGGGCACTGAGCCCTGCTGCTGACAACACACACCGTGCACACGGTCGGACGTGTGGTGTGCTTCAGTGAGCCGCGTGTGGTTGTGAACGGTGTGCACACCCGACCCCCCAAACGCACGCGGCCTGACCTGGGCACGGAGGCCCGGTGGTGGGGTCTGGGGAGGCTGCAGGACCACGCACCTCCACGGTGAACTGCGATATCGGGGTGCAGTGAGCCGAGGGCCTGGCCGGTCCCCACACCGGGGCCCAGACGCGACCCGCCTGCAGCACCACGAGGAGAGACGGCAGACACCTTGTCTGCCGGGAACTTCCAATCTGCACCAGCCGCCTCCGCGCGCACGGGAGCCTGGGTTTATCGGGAGCAAAGTCCGGTGCAATAGCATGCACTGCCAGTTCCCTCTGGGAGCTCGGGGTGGGGGTGGGGGCACAGACCGCCGTCCTCGGAGCCGGGGGCGGCGGAGGCAGCAAGGGGACGGCGCCACGGGGGTGGGGACGCGGATGAAAAGGACCGAAAGCGCGTCTGCGGAGGGACAGTCGTGCAGACCCGGGAGAACAGGCCTCGCCCATCTCCCCGCTCAACCCGGGGGCTCGCCGGAGCCGACCCGGCCTTTCCTGGGGGGCCCCCCCGCACGCTGAGCCCCCTCCTCTGCTTTCAGTTCTGGGAGGTGATCGGCGAGGAGCACGGGATCGACGCGGTGGGCAGCTACGGCGGGGACTGCGCCCTGCAGCTGGAGAGGATCAGCGTGTACTACAACGAGGCCCACGGTAGGCGGCACGCCCCGCGCCCAGGGCAGTCGGTGGCCAGCAGCCCCGGGGGGGTGGTCAGGGGGGACCACAAGCGGTCACGGGAGTGACGTCCAGGCAGAGCAGCGGAATCCCGAGTGAGGGTCCCCGAGCCCCGTTCACAGCCGCCGCCGCCGCCGCATGGGGGCACACGTCTCAACATGAGCAGTATCGGCACCAGCCTCCCTTTTTTGGTGTTTAAGTGAAAACCAGAAGCGTTTCCAACAGGGACAGACTCTCTACCATCAGCAGCACAACAGGACAGAACAAAGAAAAAAGGGTTTCTGAGGTGTGTTACAGATTGCAGGGCCAGGATGTAATTTCAAGCTCTTTCTACCAAAGGCACATTTTTCCTTTTCCTTTACACCCCACGTCACACGGTTCTATTCTGATGGAACATTAACTCGCAGAAAAACAACGGTTTGCTGACTCCCCAGTTTCCCGCGCAGGTAAGAAGTACGTGCCCCGAGCCGTCCTGGTGGACCTGGAGCCCGGCACGATGGACAGCATCCGGTCCAGCAGGCTGGGAGCCCTCTTCCAGCCGGACAGCTTCGTCCACGGTAGGTCTCCCGCCTCCGGGGGTGTCCTGTTCCCCGCCCCCCCGCCCCCCGCGTCGGGGCGCCGCGACGGTGACTCCTCTGCCGCAGGCAACTCCGGGGCCGGCAACAACTGGGCCAAGGGCCACTACACGGAGGGCGCGGAGCTGCTGGAGAGCGTGCTGGACGTGGTGCGGGCCGAGAGCGAGGCCTGCGACTGCCTGCAGGGCTTCCAGCTGGTGCACTCGCTGGGCGGCGGCACGGGCTCGGGCATGGGCACGCTGCTGCTGAACAAGATCCGCGAGGAGTACCCCGACCGCATCCTCAACTCCTTCAGCGTCATGCCCTCGCCCAAGGTGTCGGACACGGTGGTGGAGCCCTACAACGCCGTGCTGTCGGTCCACCAGCTCATCGAGAACGCCGACGCCTGCTTCTGCATCGACAACGAGGCGCTCTACGACATCTGCTTCCGCACGCTGAGGCTGACCACGCCCACCTACGGCGACCTCAACCACCTGGTGTCCCTGACCATGAGCGGCATCACCACCTCCCTGCGCTTCCCCGGCCAGCTCAACGCCGACCTGCGCAAGCTGGCCGTGAACATGGTGCCCTTCCCCCGCCTGCACTTCTTCATGCCCGGCTTCGCCCCGCTCACGGCGCAGGGCAGCCAGCAGTACCGGGCCCTGTCGGTGGCGGAGCTCACCCAGCAGATGTTCGACGCCCGCAACACCATGGCCGCCTGCGACCCGCGGCGCGGCCGCTACCTGACGGTGGCCTGCATCTTCCGCGGCAAGATGTCCACCAAGGAGGTGGACGAGCAGCTGCTGGCCGTGCAGACCCGGGACAGCAGCAGCTTCGTGGAGTGGATCCCCAACAACGTCAAGGTGGCCGTCTGCGACATCCCGCCCCGGGGGCTGAACATGGCCGCCACCTTCATCGGCAACAACACGGCCATCCAGGAGCTCTTCACCAGGGTGTCGGAGCACTTCTCGGCCATGTTCCGCCGGAAGGCCTTCGTGCACTGGTACACCGGCGAGGGCATGGACGTCGGCGAGTTCGTGGAGGCCGAGGGCAACGTCCACGACCTGGTGTCCGAGTACCAGCAGTTTCAAGACGCCGGAGCGGCTCTGGAGGAAGATGAAGAGGTCGCGGGCGAGGCCGAAACGGGAGCAGGAAACTCGGCTCCTTGACCGCGAGAGGCGGCGAGCGAGCGCCCGCGGCGGGGCGCCAGGGACAGGCGCGGTCTCTGCGCGCAGGCGCGTCCGGCAGCCACCCCACGCCCGCTCCGCTCACGGCTCACGGCTCCGCCCACCGCACCGCCCGGCCGCTCCTGCTCCTGCTCCCCTGGGACACGGGACCGTGGGCGGGGCCGGGATGCGCCGACAGGCGCCAGGGCCCCCCGCCGGCACTCGTGTTCCGAGCACAGTGTACGCACGCCTTTTAGCAGTAAAGTGAATTCGTGGCAAAGCAGCCCCTTGGTTTGCAGGTGTTTGCCGGGTGGGTGTTCACGGGGCTCGGGGCGTGCGACAGCGCGTGCCTGCGTGGGGAGGGCGTCACCTCGTGGGCGGCAGCGCTGAGACGGGCCTGGACTCCTGGCTCGTGTCCTGGGCTACAAAGACTCTGCGCAGCATCGGACCTTTCTGGTGCTCGCTGGCTTCCAGAGCCTTCCCCTCACAGACCTCGGGCCCCAAGCAGCAACCAAACCGACAGGCCAAGCCGGGTCGGCCAGTCCTCCCCCTGAGCTCCGAGGGCCCGGCTCCCCAGCGGCCCACGGGGCGCACGCAGGGTCTTACTCGTGTGGGCCCGGAACCTCACCTCCCGCCTCTGGGTCTGCCCCATGCATCCAGGCTGCCCCCCAGGGGCCTGCCCCCTCCCACGCGGTCACCGCCTCCCACTGGCAGAAAGCAAGTGAGTGGCCACCGCCGCAGTGTCCTTGTCAATCACGGAGGACGCCACTGCATTAGGGAACGTTCACCGTGCACGTGAGTCTGCAGGCACTGACACGCGTGTTGGCGCGATGACACGGCTTTAACCACCCCACAGCGTCAATCTGCTCCCGCCACCACGGGGCCCAGCACGGCACAGGGCAGTGGAGTCACCCGCAGCCCCTTCCGCACAGCTCACCTGTGCCCACAGGACACGTGGCAAGGCCCCCCACCCCCCCACGCAGTCACCACTGGGCCTCACCGCCGGGGACGCCGAATTGCTGGGCACGGGGCCTCGTCCCCTGGCTGGCTCCCCGGTCTGCACCGACCAGGCCGCAGGGAGGGGGGCTCGAAGGAGCCCGTTCTGCGAAGCCTCACCTCGCCTGCGTGCGTCGGGGGAAGGGCCACAACTGTGGGGTGGGGGTGGGGGGTGCGGGGCGTGCAGGTGCTGCCGCGGGCCCCCTGGCAAGCCTTCTGTTTACAAAATGAATCAAAAAAGCTTTAAACACGTCCCACTTGTGGTTCAAGAATCACTAGAAAGAGGGACAGTTAATAAGAAACTGCACCTGCACATTCTTGCTTTGAAGTCCCTAACTTCTCTAGATGCCGAACAGACTTACAACCTGTGCCTGTATGAGAATGTATACACATGCTTCCTCCAGCCCTTTCCTTCTCATGTCTGAACAGGCATCTGCCCTGGCTGCTGGGGCTCGGTGGACTGAGCGCCAGCCTGTGAGCCAAAGGGTCACCAGTTCGATTCCCGGTCAGGGCACGTGCCTGGGCTGCGGGCCAGGTCCTGGGTAGGGGGTGCGCAAGAGGCAACCGCACACTGATGTTCCTCTCCCTTTCTCCCTCCCTCCCCCCTCTAAAATAAATAAACACAATTTTTAAAAAATATAAAAATGCAATGAAATGGGTGCAGAAAGATATAAATCTGAACTTTAAAAAGGAAACACTACGTAACAGGCATGCCAAGGCAAAAAAAAAAGGCCCAAACGAAAGAATGGATCAAAGCTCCAGAAAAAATACAACCAAGCAACGAAGAGAGCCAATCTATCAGATGTACAGTTCAAAGCACTGGTAATCAGGATGCTCACAGAATTGGTTGAATATGGTCACAAACTAGAGAAAATGAAGGCTATAAAAGTGAAATAAAGGAAAATGTACTGGGAACCAACAGTGATGGGAGGGAAACTGGGACTCAGAACAAGAGTGGACCAGAAGGAAGAAAGAAACATCCAACCAGAAAAGAATGAAGAAACAAGAATTCAAAAAAATGCGGAGAGGCTTAGGAACCTCCAGGACATGTTTACACATTCCAACATCCAAATCATAGGGGTACCAGAAGGGGGAGAGAAGAACAACAAGTGGAAAAGTTATTTGAACAAATAATGAAGGAGAATTTCCCCAATCTGACAAAGGAAATAGACTTCCAGGAAGTCCAGGAAGCTCAGAGTGTCCCAAAGAAGTTGGACCCAAGGAGGAACACACCAAGGCACACCATAATTACATTAGCCAAGACTAAAGAGAAGGAGAGAATCCTAAAAGCAGCAAGAGAAAAGGAAAGAGTTAGCTACAAAGGAGTTCCCATAACACAATCAGCTGATTTCTCCAGAGACCTTACAGGCAAGGAGGGGCTGGAAAGAAGTATTCCAAGTAATGAAAAGCAAGGACCGACATCCAAGATGACTCTATCCAGCAAAGCTATCATTTAGAATGGAAGGGCAGATAAAGTGCTTCCCAGATAAGGTCAAGTTAAAGGAGTTCATCATCATCAAGCCCTTATTTTATGAAATGTTAAAGGGACTTATCTAAGAAAAAGATAAAAAATATGAACAGTAAAATGACAACTCACAATTATTAACAACCAAACCTCAAACGAAAACAAAAACAAAGCCAACAACTAGAACAGGAACAGAATCACAGAAATGGAGATCACAGTGGAGGAGTGGAAGGGGAGAGGGGGAAAAGGTACAGAGAATAAGTAGCATGAATGGTAGGCAGAAGACAGACAGGGGGAGGTTAAGAACAGTATAGGAAATATAGAAGCCAAAGAACTTACACGTACGACCCGTGGACATGAACTAAACGGGGAGAATGCGGGTGGGAGAGAGTGTGCAGGGCGGAGGGGAATAGAGGGGGGGAATGGAACAAGTGTAATAGCATAATCAGTAAAATTTTTCTAAAGATATATATACAGAGAGAGACCTCTTACAAATTTATACAAAAACAAAAAATAATTTAACAGGAAAACGTGCAAAAACATATGAATAGGCAATTTGCAGAAAAGTCAAGATCCAAGACCAAATCTATAGAAAACTACTCGAACTCACTCTTTGCTTCCAAACTAGCAAAAACGACCAAGACGACGGATACTTCCTGTGGACAGAAACGTCAAGAAAACGCTCACCAATGTTGGGGGCAGTGAGAGCCGTTCCAGAGACCGCGGGAGCCGTCTGCCAGCACCCACTCCGAAAATACACTGAGGGGGTTCCGACACTGCAGCGTGTTCTGAAAATAAAGAAGTTCGGAAGAACAGGTGCGCACATGTGTTTACTGCACCACTGCTCCCGATGCCAGAGGAGGAAAGGAAAAGAATGTTTATTAACAGGTAACGGCTGAGTGAGGAACGTCGGGTCCACACCGTGGACTGCTGTGGGGCCCCAAAGGAGTGCGTTAGAGCCGCCCTGGCTGAAGGACTTCCTCTATGAGGTTTGGTTAAACCAGAAACCTAGGGAACAGCAAAGGGTCCACACCACGGTACCAGTAATAAAGTGAACAACATCCCCAAATCCTCACGTATTTGCACGCTCACACACGGTTATATGGGCACAGGAGGAAGTGCAGGGGACGTCACCAGGAAAAAAACAAGGGGAAAAAAAAGCACCTCTGTTGATTTACATTACTATAAAGATTTTTCTTTGCCCAACAGTAATCATTAAAGTACAAAGAAACTCAATTTTAAATGGCCCCATTGCTTTATTTCAGACTAAATAATATTCCTTTTCTTGGAGTCTAATCACCCAGACTGATTTAGTTAAAAATAGTCCAAAGTGCATCTCACCAGCCTCCTATTAAAAAAAAGAACAAAACCCCGAATCTAGAAACTGAAACGGACCCGTCCTCTCCGGTTTTGCAGAGCCGGTTTCTTCAGTGGCGTGGTCACTCCGGTGACACCGGTCTCTTGGAGACGGACGCAGCAGAGTCAGAACTTCAGGGCCTGCCCGACGCCTCCACTCCGTGCCCGAGAACTCCGCAAGAACAAGGGGTTCACGACACCCCCGGCACCCCAGACGAGCGACGGAACACGCCCACGCAGACCTGACCCGGGGCCTGGGTGGTCAGGACAGCCCTGCCCGCTGCCCGGAGGGGCGAGGCGCAGAGGGTTCTCGCGGGCATCCTCGAACCCCAGAGCGCGCCTCGAGAACTCCGCGCTGGCAGCGGGCGTCTCCCACTCGGCTCCCGCCATCCTCGCCGGGGCCCCAGCCCTGTCCCTGACTCTCATGTCTGCCTCCCTGACAAAGCACTTCTCTCTGATTACGGGGCTGCCAACGATTCGGCCCTGCGCCCGTCGGCCACTCAGGGCACCAAGAAGGCCCCGCGGCCCGGCGAGTCGCTCACTTCTGAGTGTGAAGCGGCCGGCGCCTCCATCACAGACCACCCAGGGGCCCGGACGTCAGCACGGCGGGCGACACCCTGCACCCCGCTGCCCCCCGGCACCCCGCTGCCGCCCCCGGCGGGCCAGGTGCTGAGACTGAAACACGACCCACCGGTCACGTGTCCGGGGCAGGAGCCGCCTCTGCGAGCACAGGACAGAGACGTCTTCCGGGCCACTCGGCGCTGTGAGTGGCCGTGACAAACGGCTGTTCGCGTAAGTACCGTGATGAGACCCGGGCCCGCGGCCGGTGCACGCGCTGGACCGTGTTTCCGAGCTTCCTGTTCAAGTGTTTCTCTGTCCTCTGAGAACGGTCAAAGTCAAGCAGTTAACTCTGCCGTGGGGTTCCACTCGGCCAAGTGCTTCCAAGTTCCCAAGATCAAACAAAACACTGGCACCGGCCCTGCACCCGTGGACACGACCCTCCACCCGTGGACACGTGACGACGGAACAAACCACCTCGCACGCGCTGCCGGGCAGCAGCCTCGGGTGTAACTGCGACTTGGCCACCCGCGCGACCAGCCGGTCACCGGATGGCTCCACCCCGCGCCGCGTGAGCAACGCCCCCAACGGTGAGGATTCATTTACCCAACGACAGGAGTGGCTTCCTGCGCTTAGACCCCAGCGTTTAGTTTCCCTCTGCGGGCTTTAAGGGCGCGGGAGAGAAATGAACACCCCAATCAAGTGTCTTCCCTCTGACCAAGGTTCAGTGACCATCCTCACTGCGCCTGCCGGCCAGACAGCGCCGCCTGCACAGGGGACACCGGGGGACAAGAGGCTCTCACACGGCTTCTGCGGTTCAAGGACAAGGGGCCACGGGAGCCCGATGACCAAGCCTGACTGTGTCAGTTCACGGCGTGGAAGAGAACTTGCCGTTCTGAGACATTCCAAACTGTCTCTGGATCTCCTTGGTCGCTAGTCGCTACACCCGCTCCTCCCGCCGAGGAGCCCCCGGCGCCCGCGGTCACCCCCGCCCGAAGGGAGCAGCCGAAGGAAGCCAACACCGCCAGCACGAGCGAGCCGCATTCCAGTTTATTGGCCCCGGCCGCCCCCCCCAGGACAGGCGCCCCCCCATGGAGCAGGGCCGCCCTCCACCGGCCGCAGCGCGTGCCCGCACATCTTCGCCTTGGGGACGGGGCGTGTTCAAGCTTCACCCAGCAGCACCTAGGAGGAAAAAAGAAAACGCAAAAGCTGTTAGTCCTCTGTTTCTTAAAAACCCGACGTGAATGGGGAAGGTGAGGAACCCGGGCCCCCCCAGGGCCCAAGCCGAACGGCCGCCTGTTGCCCTGCTAAGGGAACCCAAACACTCGCCTACAACACAGCAACTTTGCCTTTGAAAGACACGGAACCCCCCTGTGCCGCCAGGAGAGCGCTCGGCTCGTTGCTGCGGGAGCCGGACGCTCTCCCCAGCCTGGGGGGTCACAGGGCAAGGGAGCGGGCGCTGCGGAGGCGGGCTGGGGTCTCTGTCCCGGTTAGCTCCTCGCACAGACAGAGCCACCGGCCGCAGAGCCGGGCCTCCGCACTCGGAACTACGAGATTAGACAGAGAGCCCCTAGAAACAGGACCAAATTCAAAACACTGCATTTCCAGACTCATAATAAAATATTTACTAATTCAAAATGAAAATGAAAAGTGCTTAGGGGAGACAGTTCCAATAAGTAAAACTGCTCATAAGCACACGCTGCCAAAGGATTAATATTTATTACGTTTCGCTGCCACTGCAGGCCTGAAGCTTTTCAAAAAGCAAAGCAAGAAAAGTAAATCTGAAAAACATCTCTCTGGTAATTTGCCTTCCTTACCTTTGAAATAACTGTCAAAAAAGTGATTTGGAGATCAAATCACTTCAGCGGTTTGGAGCACAAAAGTCTCACCGACTGTCTCACACAGCATCGAGTGTCACTCCAGGTCGCCAGCACCCTGGAGCGGGGAGAGGGGCCGCGTGCACGGAGAGCACGGCGCCCTCAGCCTGGCGGCGCCCACCTCGGGGTCCTGCAGGTGCTCCTGCGTGACCCTCGGCAGGACCCTGGCCCGTACCTGCAGCCCTTCCGTTCAGGGGGGGGATTCGTGAGAACGTTAGCAGGTGTGGGGGAAACAAAACCACAGAGAACTGTAATTTTTCATGCTCCTGAACTGTTACGTAACTCCAACAGCAATTACGAAAATGAGAGTTTATCCTCCAAATTATTTGACTTTCTGCAAGTGAAACAAGTTTAATTAAAATAAGATGGCTCGCTACTCAGGCACTGCTAAATGAGTTGAAAATCAATGTGCCAATTGCTTCTGCTTGTCAGGGCCCCAAACAACACTCTTTGTTTATGCCACAGGGCTTGTATAACCTGCGTGCTTCGAGTTAGTATCCTACTCACTTCTCCGTGCACTGTTGACCAAAAAGCGGACAAAATTCAACATCGAAAGTACTTAAGGTTTTTTAAAGCATTTAAATAACGAAGATGCAACTCTTCCAAATCAGTCAGAACGTACACATTATTCCTTCTTCACTTTCACAATCTTGACGCTGCTGCCGGCGGTCTTCTCGGCGCTTGCACGGAACTCCGTCTTCAGCGCATCCCGCACGGCCTTCGCACAGATCTGGGAGTACCGGATGTAGCTGGGGGAGAACGGGAGGCGACACGAGTTTAATCACAATGATCCGGCCACACTGGTTGTGCAACTGGTTTCTAAATCACATATTTTAGATTTTATTTATTCATTTCTTTAGAGGAAGGAGGAGGGAGGTAGAAAGAGGGAGAGAAACCTCAATGTGTGGTTGCCTGTCGTGCACCCCAAAATGGGAACCCGGCCCACTCGCAACCCAGGCTTGTGCCCTGACTGGGAATTGAACTGGCAACCCTTTGGTTCACAGGTCAGCGCTCAGTCCACTGAGCCACACCAGCCAGGGCTAAATCATATATTTTAAATTTTGGTTTGATGGTGCATTATTATAGAACTGGATTTAGAAATGTCTTAATGCCAAAGAGAATCCCCACAAAGAAAAAGACTAGGAAGAAATGTACCAGAATCTTGGTGTTAGGATGGGCGGTCTTTGGTTTTTCTACTTTATACTGTTTTTACTCTTTAATGCATATTAATTTAAAATAAAAAAGGCATAGATAGTTTTAAAAAAACCCCACAGGACAGGAAAGAAAATAGACCAAAGTGTTAATGGGGTCTGTAACAGGAGGAATTCTCCCATTTCTCTACTTAAAATTTCTGGTATTATTCTTACAAGTTTTTATAATTAAAAAAGGAAAAAACTATTTTAAATGAAAAGTTCTTCCTCTGATTAAGTATTTAAAGGTTTTCCTGAGAATACTGGATTCTGTTTCACAAGTCTGCCATTAAAAATACTTCCCCATCCATGTTTCCAAATTAAACCAAAACGTCGTCCTCTGAGGACATCATCAATTCTATCAAAGTATCTAACAGCCTGCTTCCTGCTTGGTGGATGGACTCCCATCAACATCTCATTTTGCATAAGATGTCAGCTCACTTTTTACACTTTTTGAAGACAGGAAGGGGGCTGCTGCCTGTTTTCTCATGTTTCAGATTTGGGTTTGTTTGTTTTTTTGGTCCAAGAGGTGGGCGTTCCAATGCCTGCTTCCACTCTTACTAATTGGGTGACCTTCAGGCTGTTCAATCTTTTCAGCTCGTTTATTCACCCAGAGAAACAATAGAATAAAATATACGGATAATTGTACTTGCCCCGCCGGTGGGCGGGAGGAGGAGAGACAAAATGTGAACAGCATGAGTCACCGTGTCCCTCACATAGTAGGTGCTTCATAAATGGAACCCCGTTCCCGGAACTATCCTCCCCCCAATGTTGCAAAACTTTGCGTGACCTCACAAGCCAGGGACACTGGGTTGCTCAGGTGTCTCCCAGGCCCCTACCCACAGAATGCCACCACTAGAAGGTGCTCCTTTTTGCTCAGGCAGGTAGGAAGGTGTGTCACCTGGAGCAAGGCACTATGCTCTCTCGACTGGGTAACAGGTGTAACGGGGAACACAGAAACCTAGACTGCTGCCTTTCCCGTTACACTACATGCTATGTCCTCTAATGGGTGCTGCATTTGCGCTTCCGTGGGCCACGACCACCTGTGCACAGGACTCTCTGCAGGTAAGAGCAACAGGAGTTAATGCAAAATGAAATCAAAACTGTGCACCCTTACGAATGGCCCCATTGTGAAGCTGAAACTATCAGAAGACGCTGACATCTGGGGAGAACTCTCCCCAGTCCTTGCAATTCCCAAGTTTTACATCACTTGACACTTTTACAACTGAGTGTCACCAACAGGGCAAAGGCCCCGGGCGTAGGAACCGCTCTCTCTGGGACAGCGTCGCAGGCGTCGCGCCAGGTGCAGATCTGCACCCCGAGGCAGGCAGGCAGGCAGGCAGGCGGGGGCTCGCGCGCAGAGAACACCCACGAGGACGCCTGCATCCCAGGCTGCGCCCGGCCTCCCCCGCCCGCACGGCCGCCATCTTGGCGCGCTTGCCCGCCGACCCCAGCCGCGTCCGCGTGACCTCCGACCCCGGGCCGCCCTGCGTCCTCCCCGTGCGCCCCTCCCGAGGCCTGGGCCTACCTGAGTCCAGCCTGTCGCCAGTAGGCCACCATAATGTCGCGAGAGGGGACCTGTCGGACCGAATCGCGAGGACGAGTCAATGTCGGCTCAACGCGTGACCCACCGGCCGGAAGGTCAAGCCTGAGAAGCGGAAGGGGCGGGGCTGCAGACCTGCCAATCCTGTCGCCTCGGCCCCGCCCGGCCCAATCGGACAGCCCTGCTGCCCCGCCGCGGAACTCCCGCCTACAGCGCCGAGAGCCAATGGGGGCGCGCCGCTCGGACCACAAGTGCCAATCCCCGGGCGGGCCGGCCGGCCCCACCTGCCGATTGGCTGGGCTGGTGCTCCGATGCTCCCCATAGTACTCAGGCGGGGCAACAAGAGATGTAGTGGAGGGAACTCGAGACCGCGTGGCTTTAGGGGCCGGAGACGCGAAGCCACGACCTAAGGCGGTGTCACGGCGCACCCAATGGGGTCCCGAGGTGACATTAAAGACACCAGACTTGCAGTTAACAGGGCGACGGGCTTAACATCTTCCAGGGCCTTGGAACCACGTGCTGTGTGCCAGGACCCACAGCACAAGAAGGGCCAGGAAGGCTGGGGATACAAACGCAGGGAATCAGGCCGGGGGTTGGGAGACCTCCAGAGACAGGGGAACTTCTGCGTAGGTGTGTCAGGTTTGGGGAAGGTGCCTCAACCCAGCAGCACAGCTGGGTTAGAGCCCACGGCAATGAAGTGTATTCTTAGTGGGGGAAAAGGACTCCCTTTGCTGTTCACATTCAGAAGGATGATCCTCAGCCCGGGCTGGTGTGGCTCAGGGGGACTGAGCACCAGCCTTCAAACCAAAAGGTCACCGGTTCAACTCTGGGTCAGGGATGACACCCGGGTTGCAAGCGAGGTCCATGTGAGCGGTAACCAGTGTGTGTGTGTGTATCACACAGCAGTGTTTCTCTCTCCCTCCCTCCCCCTTTCTCTAAAAATAAATAAAACCTTGGAAGTGATAAGTAAAAACCATAGTTAAAAGGAAGTTTTTATTAACAAGAAAGGTTCTTAATTTGTGTAAGATCCAATTTTAGTATCAAGTTAAGACACTGGCCCAAGCCCTCTCAAATGTATATGCTTACTGTGCATTTATATTGTATCTGGCAAAGCCACAGACTATCAGCTATTTAACTAAAAGGAGTAACTACACAGAAAACAAAACTAAGAAACTTTAGAGAATGTTATCATTAGAGTAAAAAAACCAAACAAAATTTGTTAAATCTCTTTATCATCAGGGCATTCATTACACTTTTCTCAGAACAAGTATAATTTACAGAAATTAAACAAGGCAACTTTTTTTTATTAAATATCAGTATTTAGCAATGTTCTGTTTAGCTGTAAAGTTATTTCAATGGTAAAAACCATTTCTGGTTACAAAAAAATAATAAAATATGTTATTGAATTTCACTTGTTTTTACAAATGCCCTAAGAAGTCTTAAGCTAGATGATATTTTAAGTAGAGAATCACTAACTTCTCCATAGTTTGGTATACTATTCCTGTGGTTTATGTACATGTTACCTGGTTTCTTTTTATAGGAAATCTGACTAGAAGTTTATCACATTAAGCATTGTAAAATAAAGGCAAGAACTAATCACCTTTTAACAAAAATACTCTCTAAGCAACAACTGACAAGTATGAAAGATATTTTTTACTGGTCGATAATTAACTGCTACAAAACGCGCACTGAAATACACTTGCTGGATTGTTCTCAGAGCGCAGCTGGCCTTTGGCACCCGAAGTGAGGGCTCCTCGTAAAAAAAGCTGGAGGGCAGGCGGTGCTGTGGTTCGTGAGGTCAGCGCTCCTCCCCCTCCTGCGCTCTTCTCGCCCCCACCGCCCCCATCCCCTGCAGTGGCGTGCTGTCATGGAAGACATTAAGCACTGGGATTTATGCCTCAGATCAAGACATCATTTGAATAATTTCAAATGATGTACAGCTCCTCGTGTAAAAAAAGATGTTTTGCGGTCACAATTACTTCAAAAAGTAATTATATTCAAATAACCTGACATACCATGCTTTAGCAATTACAGAACCTTGATTTTGACACATGGCAATTTATAAGTTAGGCAAATGTGAAATGCTCCAAGATGTGAACAGCTGTTCTTCTGTTTAAGTTTAGAGTGCTGCAAAATTCTGGTAATTACTTTATTTTTCCAGTTAACATAACCAGCCCACGACACGGAATACTAACTCATGAAGTACAAATCCAAGGAAGGTAATGACTTTGCAAAGTCACAAAACTCTGACAAATCCATGAAGCACTCTTTAATAGAACAAAACCCTACTTTTGTTGGGGTTATACTTGAGTGGTAATTTTCACTCTGAAAATGTCATTTAAGTGCCAAATTAAAACACTGATGTTTAACGGTGGTTGATAGCAGAGCAAGTTGCTTTATACAAATTTAATATACCTCTGAAAGCTACCCCTTTTTCCCCTGCACGTGAGACCCTCTGGGAGCGGACCACGCGGCGCACGGTGCCTGTCCGGAGGGCTCTGCTTGGCTCTGGGGCTGGCCCAAAGCCAGGCAGAGTGCCGGTGCGCACGAAAAGCTTCGAATTCCACAGGAAGGACACTTAATATGCTAACACCAATTTCCAAGCACTTTTCAGAAACTTAAATTTCCACATAAATACTGGAATCTTCAAGACCAGTCAGTCATTCCACACAACACTAACCATTTCAGATGTCCCCTTTTATTCAGAAGCCCCGTATCTCGGTGTTTATTGAGTCACGTAGCCTTTCTTCAGCTTATTAAAAAAATTCTACCTAAAATACAGCTATGTTTTTCTGTTTATTTTAGTTGTATTTTTTAAATAATGAATAAATACAATGCCAGCCAGCTGAGATCCGGAGAACTGGGCGCTGCCACCACCTTCCGTCATTTCTCCGCAAGCGCGGCCGCCACCAGCGGGGTCCGCATGCCGCCTCTGGCCGACGCCGCCAGCTCCTCAATCTCGGCGTTCAGCTTGTGTATCACCCACTCCATGGCTTCTCGGCCCTTCAAAAGCCCAACGGGTTTACTGTTACCGGTGCGAGCAGAGGCAGGTGTCGCGTGACCGGCACGACAGGAAGTAGCAGGGAGCACGGCCAAGTGCGACCGCGCCTCTCCAGGGCGGCCGTGTCCGTCTCTGCCTCTGCTCCCCAACCTTCCCCTCCAAGTACCAGTGCCTTGACCAAACGGCTTGATCTACAAACCGATTTTTATTTTGTGTGCAAAAGATGCTTCCAAAAGAATCTCTAATTAAACGACAGTGATTAGCATGGTCCCCTTTTTGGAGGTGAGGTCAAGCCCCCTTTTCCTGTTATGTCCACATTTTAAACTGAAATCCCACCCAAGGTCTCAACTGAAGATTTAACCCAAATCCGGAAGGGCCCGCCCCCCCTCTCCCGGCACTCCGCCAGTTCCCTGCAGAAAAGAGAAAGCGCCATCTCATTCGCCCTGTCCGGGGCCTGTGCACACTCAGGTGCTGCCTGACACGCTTCCGGCACTTCCCTCACTCCGCACTCAGCAGAGCGCCACTCCGTGAACACTCGTGCGCCCTCTCACACCTCCCACACTCCCCTTCCCTAAGGGCACTCTCCTTCCCCAACGACGCCGTGCGAACAACGGTGCCCCCCTAGCTCCGCGGGGGCGGGGCCACACGTCTTTGCTCCCGCCGCACCGCCCGTCTAGCCAGCATCTGCCTGGCGGACAGGGCGGCCGCGAACACCTTCTTCTGACTGCGGCACGGTTACACGGGATGTGCTATAAAACAGTGCAGTAAGCGTCCTTTCGTCTAAACTTAGTTTTAAACCACTCGTTCTTGATGGGGCAAAAATTAGCCGGGTGGGGTGGGGAAACCCTCCTCTTTTCTATGCATGAAGCACACCTGTCCACCTGTCTGTCCACCTGTCTATTGTGTTACATCACCACATGGGGCAGGGCAATTAGGAAAAAAAATGTTGACAATGGATCTGGGACAGGGGGGCGATGATGACCAAGGCAGAGAATCGGTGCTTTAGACAAGGACACATGGCGACACGTCACCGAGCACATCCCAGGCGCTGGGCCCTGGGCCACGTGCTTGCTGTCACCTCCCTGCTCCGCAGCCCAACCCTGCAAGATGGGCAGTCAGTCTCCACTTCACGGGTGGTAAACTGAGGCACAGAAGGGTTACCTTAATGGCCCAAGGTTGGAGGGCTGGTAAGAGAGTGTGGGTGTGAACCCCGGGACGTGCTGGGCCCCAGAGCCCGTGCAGGTAGCAGCCTGAGGGTTCTCCCTGCCTCCCGCCAGTCAGCTGGCAAGGACAAACACCGGTTCAGTGCCACGCTCTCCCCAGAAAGCAGCCCAGGAATGCCAGCCCGGGCTGGGGCAGCCTCACACACCTTGTTGGCGTTCGAAGAGATCGTACTCGCCATCAGCCCTTCCAGGTAGCTGCTGAGGCTGACTCCCTTCACAGAGATGATGGCTTCTTGGGTCAAGACAGTTCTGGAACAAAGCACATTCACGCAGCTTCAGAACGACCTCACTTTCATGTTCTACAATAATATTTAGAAAAAGAATGAAAACATCTATAAAATAAGTTTATTAAAACAGTTTTTACTTACTTTTCTGGGTTCTGAGGATGTGGTTTATATGTGAGTCTCTCATCTACAGAAACCATATTTGTAAACGAAATCTACAGAAATTAAAAAGAAAACAACAAATCATTTTGGAAACCAAGATTAAAAACATTTTCAAAATTAATTCACAAGCCCAAACCTTGCTAGCTAAATACATAGAACAAACAAACCACTTTGACGTTACTGTGCAAATAAGCATTTAAATTTCACTATTCACTGCTTACTTCCATTAAAAACTAATACACGTGAGCAAGTGTCGCGAGAGCAATGACACGCACAGCATCCCGAGCTCCCCTCGCTGACTGCTGTCCCCAGGAGGCGCAGGCCGAGCTGCGACAGCAAGGGCGGCACCACCTCTGGGCGCCGGTTTCCTGGCCCCAGCGAAGGGCTCGAGACAAGCGCTCCAGCCAAGCCGTTTCCAGTGAAAACCGGGGAAGCCGAAACTCACATTGGTGGACTGAAGCTCCATTGTTTTCTCTACGGGATCAACCACAGAATGTTCCTGCACGTAT